GAGCTTTTTCGGAGTTCATCGCCACTGCGTTGACATCGTGACGGCAAAAAGCGCATCTTGCTGAATAATGGCGCTGTTATCCGTGGTCTTCCCGGGGTGAGGAATGACTAGAAATCGATTTGTCTTTCGTTTGACTCCCTCGGTGACACGGGAGTCTGCTGCTTACGGGAGATGCACGTTTTTATAAAATGAAGCGTTCGACTTCTGCAGCCTATGCGTCTTTCTATACATAATAACCCCCGGTATGAGGGCAAAAAGGAGGTATTTTCGTTCGCTTCGCTGCCATGAAACTATTTCTTGTCCTGATTACTTTGAACCCGATATCCATATTTCTCAATCAACGTGGCTCCTGGAGGACTGAACTCCCTGAGAGTACCAACTTGGACGAAAAGAAAAAGGACCGCACGGAATTTCTGAGGCTTAGCTGTCGGATCCAAGTTTATGCTGTACTGCTTATTTGAATAGGAACAAAAAGTAAAACAGATTATACAGTAGTAGCTTTTCCAACAGAGATGAAATTCTAAAAATATTTTTTACCCAGTATGATTGATAACTGAGCAGAGGCATGATAATTCAGAATTAAATCCCGTGTCGTTGCTCAACGCACAGCAGATGGAACGTCTTTCGGTTATACTACTAGTGACACCTACTAACTTTTTTAAAAACTTCAAAGGATCGCATTTTTGCTTCGAAGCAGGTATCACGTACAGTTGTCTTCATGCGTGCAAGACCCAAGAACAGACGCGAATCTTGCATGCTTCAAAGCCAATTATTACGAGCTTTTAAATTTTTCCAAGCTCTAATGTGACTATTGCGAATTATTGTTGACGTTCGATATTATAGAAACCGAGGGTTGCTTATGGAAGTATCGTAGAGCGCTACCTCTGCCATAAAATCTGTATTGCGCTTGAAAATTGAATCTAGATGTCGCTAAAAGTAGTACCATACTGCCTCTGCAGCAGGGTTTGTGTCTCAACAGATCCCAGCGTCTGCACTGAGCAGCTTTAATGCGCATGCAGATCGTTATCCTGCATGGCAGCAATAAAAAACATTTAATTATCGTGATGAGGTTGCGTGAAGGTTTCCAAGAAAAAGCTTATCTTTTTGTGCCTCAAGTGATTTGCTGTGCTGTGCATCCTTCTGCAAATGACGAACCAGCATGAATACTAAGCAGCTTTTCCAGTGCATTTCGCAAAAAGTTCACGAGCGTGAACGCATACCTCTCGGTCAACGAAATTGTTTCGTATCTCGCATGGGTCAAGGAATTTTGCGCGCATTTATGGTTCCTGGAGTGTGTCATAACAAGTAGGGAGCATTGTGAAATGTCTTGTGGAGCCGAGCGATATCGGCATTCTGACGTTTCTGGATTTACTGGCTCTCGGTGTTTGCGCTGGCCAGCGAGATAGACCGAGGCGTGGACGCAGCAACGGCTGTGTAAATAGAGTTGATGCTTCTCGCAGAGTTTCCAACCGTTGGCACTTCCGTCGAAGATTATGTTGGCACACGAAGTGAGAAATGTGGTTCCAAGAAAGTATTGCCGAAGAGTTTGTGCAATCTCGCGGAAAACATGAAGGAAGTCAAATTCTCCACACACAAAAAAAAGTCAGACTTGGACCATTCTCGATGAAATTTGATCAGTCGCTGTAAAAATCAGCATGTTTTTTTGCTTTCCTTAAACTCATTTGATGCCTCAGAATGCTAGACCAGTTTTCCTCGACCTTGTAAGATCTGCGGACTCCCGGTAAAAATGAGAGGAATTCAAGCGAACTTTGTGCTTTACATATAAGCAGGCAAAATATCGACAGCAGTCAAGACCGCGACCAGAAAATTGCAAATGCACAGGAAACCGAGCGAAAATGTGTTAATTAGCGTAACTAAAAATACAAAAAAAGCAAGTGTAAAATACTGTCGATCAAAACATGAAACCCTTCCACCACGCGTTCCCTCATTTTTTTTTGTAGTTGGGCTATTTGATGTTTTGTGCATCTGTTGTTTCCTGGCTGCTGTTTCGTGATACAGTATGCTGTTTTGTGAGTAGCTCTTCTGTGAGTTACTGTTTTGTAGCACGAAAGTCTTTTTATTTTAAGCGTGACCCTGAATTCATTGAATGGTAGAAACAATTATCTATAATTGGCTTGTTCATGAAGAAATTCGAGCGATTAAAGTCAATCCTTTACTTGAGCGAAGACGCTCATCAAGCCAACCATTGAACTGCATCTGCTCCCAATTTTTCAAATAGCATACATTTTTGACAGAATGTTGGGAAAGTGGTCAATAAAACTTTCCGCAACGGTGTGATTTTTTTTTTTCTCTTTTGGAAGATGCGGTATATTGTCAAGCTCCGATTGTTGTTCATAGCTACCTGCGAGGCGATTGTTTGAAATTCTCTCGAAGACTTGCCGGGACACGTGCATGTTTCTATTGTTTTGAGCTGCGTGATTCGAAGGTGACCCTATTCAATGCCCTATAAGTTTCTTTTTTCAGTGGACACCCATTTGATTCCCTGATCGTGTGAAACGTGGAATCACGACTGAATAATCAGGATGCTCGCCTCCGAGCTGCATTCAAGTGCCCTGCTGGCGAGTATGCAGCTGCCATCCCACTTTTCTCCGCCCAAACCCGAAATTAAAGCATCGATCGAAAGAATTTTGACTGCCGATTTTTCACTTTTTTATACCGCACTTTCTTTCTTTCAATACACTTTCGCTTTCAAAATTCATTTCGCTTTGCGTTGGAACGAGTAGCTTGAGCCAGTTTATTCGTGGGTGGAAAGGCTTGTAAATTTATGAGGTATCGAGCGTTATTTTGTCGGAATGGGCCTGTTAACGGCGTCGGGTTCAACGTTCGATAGTCCAGAAACCAGCTGCAACAAGATGTATTCGTTGGTTCTTCAAGAAATTTTCGCGAATGTATAGAGCACGCAAACTTTCGATTCACTAACCTTCTCCGGCAAATATTCAGTGTGTTTTTTTTTCGTCGAATAAAGAGGATTACCCTTTCCTTTACATTTATTATGAAAATTGCTCGACAGCGCACTCATTTCAATCAACAGCAGAAATCGAAAAGCCACTCATCGTTCATAGGGTCTATCCCTTAGGGTCTATCCCATCTGTTGAATTCGTAATCTATTCTTATAATTGTGAGCATATGCATTAAAAATGTTAAAGTGCTGCATACCGTATTATAATAATCCACTTGAACTACTCGCATATAATTGCGCTGATGGAAAGTTCGTTCTTTAAATTCAGCAGTGTAACGGCATTTCCACGAAGTTAACGAGTTTCATCTGTCACGCTGCTTCGTGGAAGAACTTGGCCGGAAATGTTTGAACCAGTGACGCGAATGTAGTAAAGTGCCCTGGGATTCAAATAATTCCGCGCAATTGCATGATGAGGGACTACTTCCGAGAAAGTGAATCATTTCTTGCATCATTTGAAGAACTCTCGCAATACGCTGTTTAAGAATACATTGTAGTATATTTTCCCTGTAATCTGAGACTCTATCGATACAATCCCACGTATACTGTATGTACAGCATTCCTCGCAGCCCTTAAGTATTCACGATTCAAAAAAAGGAAAAAAAATCACCTCTTGTCCTTGGGCCAGTTTACGCCGGAAGAGGATAACCGGCATTAAAATGCGAACACGTATCCATAGTTTCCCCCCAAAAGTAGAAAGAGGGCTAAACCGGCAACATTCTCATCAGTTGCCGCTTATCGAGCCCCATAACAGAACGGTTCATCCGGTGCTGCGTGCGTTTCCGCCAACAGCCGTGGAACGAGACTCTCTCCAGATTGACCCCCGCGTGCGCGGACGTGTGGCAGGAAAAATACCTGGGACCCAATCGTCGGTCCAGTGAATTAGCCGAAATCTATGCGACTCATTAGCCGAAATCTATGCGACGGCGTACTTGTGCCACTGGCTACTGTGTGGTGGGGACAGGCCGAGTTTTGTGCTTGTCGTCCGTGCGTCCGTGGTCCAGGATGTGACTTGCGCACGACGCGCATACAGGAGCCCCAGTGCTTCATTCCGTGGTGAAATTCTCCAGGCTCGTTTCCATCCTTGCATATCGACAAGGGGAAATGTGGCCGATATAAAAGTGAAAATCCGTCGACGGAAAATTCTTAGTGCCAGTCGTGGATCCCGCTGTTCCCCGAAACCGTGAAAAACGAGAAGTTTCTGGATCGGGTCTCTTATTGTTCCTTCAGAGAGCAGTGCTTTTCAGTCGGTGCTACGACGTGCCGATGGTGGTACAAATATGCCTTTTGGGTACGCGGCATATGGAAGGGTTTGATTACCGCATTCATTTGCACAACCCGTCCGGTGCGGCAAAAAAAAATCTGCCTCAAAACCAACTTGAAATTAAATTCGAATAGGATCTCTACTGGTTTTCTGCCGAAAAATTTCGAAAAAAGACTTGCGCAAGGTTTACTGCTTCGCTGTTTTTTTTTTTTTTTTTTTTTTTTTTTTTTTTTATCTCTTCTTCCTCCTCCTCCCTTATTGTGGGATTTCTTCGCTTTTTTTTTTTTTTTTTTTTTTTTTGCTGTTTGTGGGATTGGAATCACGACTATGGAAGCATGTACAGGATGCATGTGAAGTGATATTACATGGTTCTGTTTTGGAAAAGACATGCACAAGCAGAATTTTGAGACTAGGTAAGACCCCGTTCAGGAGGTATTTGACCAGTAATTACGCCCCTGTGGTGGTATGATGAGAAAAACTGGCAATCTTTGAAGTGGCACAACTCACAATCAAGTGGTATTCAAAGAAAAGCCGCGATGAACGGTATTTTTTAAAGTGATTTTCGGCGTGTGTATGTGTGTGTGCGTGTGTGTGTGACGAGTTTTGCAAAATGCTGCTGAGTTAGAAACAATCGCAATTGCGGTTCCAGGCCGTGTTGACCTTCCTCATTAAATTCGTGGGAAACTTCATCACCCGCTCGCTCCGGCGACCCTGGTTTCGTATCACGCGGGGAAACTCTTGATTGGGCATTGATTTGGCGTGAAATCTGCGTGGTAACTGAAAGCCAGTCGCGACGTCCGCGCCTGCCGACCTCGTCCTGCCAGTGGGTGTCGATTTCCAGCGGTTTCTAGCTTTCTGAGTGGTTGCGATATGGAGCAGAATTTGGGGGACGATCGGTCGCGGTTCCACGTGTCCAAGATTGACACGCCGCAGCCGAAACCCAACTCTTCGCCTTTTTTCTGCGACGATGACGGGGATAACAGTGGAGGCGGAGGAATGTCCGCTCTGCAAGTCCCAGGCAAGTCTATTTCCTTCATCCTCCCCCGTCACCTTAGAAAATGTCTCTAGGAATTGTCTTGGAACTAGATATCCCCTTTTCAGAATTTTCTCACGCATCACTTGTCCTATTTCTCGTTTTCCGGGCTGACGTTAACGATGCTATATTCGCCTCGCGTTGAATTGTCAGGCGATAACATCCAGGGTTCTGACCAGTCTTTTACTCCGTCACGCAGAATTTCCATCCATCATCCGTTTGTTCTCTAAATGTATCTTGTTCAATACCATATTTATGCATCCCTGCAAAGTTAAGATAGTGTTTCATCCAAGCCCACGTCACCCCAGAATAAAAAAAGATGACAGAAAAATTCGCCCTACAACGCTACTCTTGATCGCACAGCACAAACAATTTACAGACGATTTACTAAATACGTCCTGTGGGACATTTTACTTTCATCGTCAAAAAGAGCATTTCATCCCAGTTGATAAAATCATGAAGACAATGAAGTTATGTACGGCGCAAATACTTGGGTATTCTACTAAGATATTGATTCCTTCAGGAATTCCGAATATGTGACTGCTGGAGAATGTGTACGATTACATAATTTGCAGTTCTTTGGTACACGCCGAATAGCTTTCTTATTGTGGAATGGGTCGCATGAATTCGGGGTTTCGAAGTTCAATGCTAATTTCGAGGGTCGGTGGACAAAAGCTGAAGTGTTCAGTTTACGTTTGCCCGACAGAGAGCTACAATTACGAGGGGACGTTTTTGGCGTCATTGCATGCGATGACAAGAGAGGCGTTCCCAAGGGAGATGAACTACCGAAATATTTATTCTATCGCGAAAGCTGGGGCAGCAGGGAGACCTACCTTACCCGAATTGTTACACGAAGACGGCGAAAGAAAAGAGGTTTGTTCGTCTACCCTCGGCAAATATATGTATATATGTACAAGTAGAGTTGTGGCAAGACGGTTTTTATGGTCTTCCCGACGTTATTTTCCGCAGGATGCCGAAGTTGCGCAGGAATCAAAGAAGGGAATAGTGAAACTTGGCTGGATTCTCGGGGTTTTCGTGAGTTTCAGTTGATGTTTTTGGTGAGCATTGAGGTCGACATTGTTATGAAGGGTTTCTCTCTCGATAGCTACCATGTCTCCTGAACATCTGGGGTGTCATGCTTTTTTTACGTCTGACATGGGTCATGGGACAAGGCGGCGTTTGTGAGTATTGATGAAAGCGTTTTCCCGAAGGCAATTTATTTTAGCAGGGTTCCAATTGTGTTCCTCGTCGTATAGTTGTGGGAGTCGCGTTGTTGACACTGTGCAATTTGGTCACGACGATAACCGCTCTATCGGTATCTGCTGTCAGCACGAACGGACAAATCAAAGGAGGTAATTGCTTTTAATTTGCCACATTCGACCTTTGGATGTCGATGATATTTTCCCATGACTTTTTTCCTTGTCGGGTTTTTCCGGATAAAAAAATGAATGCTCGTTTTGTTTTCCCAAATCATCTTGCAATAATTTTTACGTGGAAATGATGAATAATTTTGACCCATCAAGGAGTACCAGCTTCCATATGTTATACATCATATATAAAAAGTCACTGCACGTACAATTACAGTCGGTGTCAAACTTGAATAACTTTTTGTCAAATTCTGATTTTTTGCTCAAAGAGTATGTGTTCGTATGCTTCCAAGCTTTAAAAAAATGATTTCAGGCAGATTCAGCAATTTGTGCATCTAGATTCTTGACTTGTAAAATGCCACAGATAACTATAAAATTTAAATTGAAGCGATATGAGAGATTGTCTAGAGAAAAGAAGCATGAGCCAAAATGGAGGAAGCATTAGCACCGTATAGTATGCGAATCTCAAAAATTTGAAGTTTTGTGGTAAAATAAACTAAAGAAGACACAGCATATAACCGTTCGTTTAGAAAAGGCACGTTTATGATAGTTTATTTTATTTTTTGAACGACTCACTTTTTATGTCAAGTACTTCTCTTGCCAGACAACAAATGAAATTATTTACAACGGTACCTCGTAGGAAAAGTGTGCTTCACGCAAGGAAATTCCCCCAGGAATGTATTAGTTTCCCCATGTGAGGACCCACTACAATATGACTACATAATGATTTTCTCCTGGTCCCAACAGAGCTTCTGTCGATACACCCGAAGCTCATCTAAAATATTATCAAATGAATAAAGAATTTTATATTGCCTGTCCTATAATTGGGTTACTACAGGGAGAGTTATATCAGGTTCCTTCCGCATTTTTCTACTTCTACTGCAAGAATTATTCACGGAATCATCCATGTTCGAGTTTTTCTAGTATGTTTGAACGCGTTGGTGTAAAATTCATTGAGTCCTGTGTAAATGACAGAGGACTCAAATCAGCTTGCAATTGAAAGAATGGCATGCAATGTTTCCGATGTGGGCATCGGCACTTGAATATTAATGCTGTGAATTCATCAGCGGAGTTTGCACCGGATGAATTGGTAAACATTTGGCTGATTTCTCCAGCTCACCAAAAACGGAAGGTTATTATATCGAAAGGGAAAATTCCCTGATGGGTGATCGTCGTTCAATTTGCATGCTAATTACGGTTATACTTTTAATATCTGTGGGGGTAGCGTCGTTGATATGCTTTCACGAGTCAGAAGAAAGATCTTGATTTATTCATGCCAGTTTTACTGGGATTAATCCAAGAAGTATGTGCAGTACTGTAGTACCAGTGCATGTATTTTACTCATAATTCTGAAGCTTCGGCTTTTTGTTTATGAGCCCTCTCTTGAGTCGGGAGAAGATCGGTGCAAGGTTAAGACTTCCTTTGTGCGGTCGGCTGCCTTCGGCACTGTTTGCAAATGCTGCGTCTGTTCTCTGCTGCGAACAGGTGGGATTTACTACATGATTTCCCGGAGCCTGGGTGCGGAATTCGGAGGGGCCATCGGACTGATGTTCTGGGCAGCCAACTGCATAGCCTGCGCCATGCACACCATAGGGTTCTGCGAAGCCGTTCAGGAGATGATGCGCGCGGATTTCAAAACGTGGATCGTCGATGACGCCAAAAATGATATTCGCATCATCGGAGTCATCGCTTTGATTTTCTGCCTCCTCGTCTGCATTGTGGGAATGCAGTGGGTCGCGAGGGTATTGTTGAAATGCGGCTCGACTTTCCTCGCGCGTGCAGCGTTGCTGATATACTCTGGATTCCTTTTTCATTCAGATTCAAGTCGTTCTGCTCGTCATGCTGCTCGCTGCTCAAGTCGCTTTCATTGTAGGTGCTGCCATCGGTCCTTATACTGATGAACAACGCGCTCAAGGATTCTTGGGATTCGATTGTGAGTTTCTTTACGCTTATCATCGTCAGCTTCGCCGACCTCGTTCAGCTCATCCATTGACAAAACAGCAGTCCGAGTTCACAAGAAAAAAACATAAAAATTGAGTTTACTTCGGATTCGTGGATTATTCGCCTTGGGATGAGAGCTTCGTCCTCATTCTCTCCGAATCTGAATGATGAAGTACCTACCCCCTTTCCTTCACTGCTAATTCGGAAAAACCTTCTTCTTCTGATTCAGCTCTCCATTACCCATGCAAACGAGAGGTTCCGAATTTTTTAACGGTCTATTTTTAGTCATATTGACATGATGAACACAATATGTACATACATTAAAGTTTTTTAACCATGAAATGTGAAACTTTCGCTACGATCTGTTCCAGTGCGTCACTTTCAAATTTCCTTCTCAACTGCTTGAATGGATTAATGAATAAATGTGCGCTTAAAATGAGGATTGTAAATAAATTAAAACAGACGCAGGAAAAAATGCTCAACAAAGTTAAAGAAATGATCACTCTTTAATACTGTACGAATAATTTTCATGCAAGCTATTTTTCGAAATATATTATCTGAAGTAGGTTATAATACAGTACATTATTTTGAATAAAAATCGGTAACACCTGAGGTGTTTTGTGCGAAAAATAAATTGTGTAAGGCGTACATGTATTACCGGTTTAAATTTTATTCAACAAATATTCCACCCGAATTTTTTTTATAATCACTGAATTTCTATTGAGTAACTTCCTGCACAGAAGCATCATGTATAGCGATGCGACATACATCTAATTCGTCGACGACGTTCAAATAGTATGTTTAGCCAATAGAAATGCACCAACAATCCATAATTATGAACTTGACTCATCGAATATTAATGCGCGAGCTGTATGGTGTTTAGGTGGCAATTATAATTTTCGATGGAGTGAAATCATTTAAAAATGTTTTCGATATTTTGCCGGATCCTTTTTTAATGCCTGCAATAAAGAAGTTACAGCTGACAAGATTTTTAATGAAATTCTGACGAAGTCGTATTGCTTTTTATGAACTCAGGGGAGGTGTTCAAGTCGAATTTTGCGCCGAAATTCAGTGTGACAGACGGAGAGCAGCATTCGTTCTTCTCTGTGTTCGCTGTGTACTTCCCTGCTGTGACTGGTATTGTTGCCGGAGCGAATCTCTCGGGAGACTTAAAGGTAAATTGCTCACCATCGTCTCATCCCTCGAGCGGAAGGCTGGCATGCAGACTGAGCTTTTGTTTCCGATTATATAGGATCCCAGCTACGCGATTCCCCTCGGAACGCTGGCCGCAATTGTGGGAACGTTTTTCAGTTACATCTTACTGGGTCTCATCAGCACAGGCGCCGTGATGAGAACGGCCTCTGGTGAATTTCGGAACTAACAATGCTCGCACTCGCGTGGATAATTTAAAACTTTTCCAAACTTTTTTGTTGCTAGGAAATGTCACTGAGCTTTACTTGATGGGAGTAACAGACAATAGCACGACTCCTACGCCGTTTCTTTTGAACGCCTTGGATCCGCCGACTGCGAGCGACTTTATTTTGAGCCAGGCTTTTCAGTGCGATGATCGCGACTGCAAATACGGACTGCTTTACAATTACCAGGTCTGTATTCTCGATTACGTGCTTCGGAACGGCAGTTCGTTATGATTCTCGTTTGCATTGCAGACGATGACAATGATTTCCTCGTGGGGTCCCATGATTTACATCGGTTGTTTCGCTGCTAGTTTGTCCTCCGCGATTGCCACCTTGTGCAGTGGGCCTCGAATCTTGATGGTGAGCAATCATATGCAGAATACAGTACATGATAACTTCGATTATACGGGCTAATGACCAGGGGCGTTCGTCTTGAATATGAGAAATTATGGATAATTAAACATACTGTACTGTAATGCCGACGTTCCCGCGAATATCAAACATGAAACAATTTTTCGGATACCCTCACGAACTTTTCAGCATCAACTTCAGAGGAAAATTACTCAATATCCCATCGGGAATTGCATTTTTAAAGGTTCGCATACGGTAATTTTGTTTAAATTTTGATGCTAATCGCATTGACCTCAATTTTAAATTCAATTCCATGAGCAATCCACACTCGATATAAGAGAAAAGAGGGTTAATTCAAAATTCTTAACCTGCAAAATAGACAGATTTGTTTTCTTCGATCCTTTTGAACTTGGTGTACAGATGTTCAAAGCCCGGATAATCGAGGACCTTTGCTCTTTTATTGTTTGAAAATGGGACTGGGGGATGCGAAGATAATCCTGGTCCTCGTTCATTGCAGGCAATGGCTCAAGACAAACTGTATCCGGGTCTTGGGCCTTTTGCTGTAGGCTGGGGCCCTAACCAGGACCCCATCAGGGGCTACATGATATGCTTCTTGGTTGCCGTGGGTTTCCTGCTCATAGGTGCTTTGTTTTAATGTTCATGCGTCCCATACGCCCGACTTGATCTTAATTTTTTAAATTTTTTTTTTTTTTGCGTCGCAGCGGAATTGAACGCCGTGGGAACTTTGACGTCCAACTTCTACCTGGCAGCTTACTCCTTGATTAACTTCTGCGTATTTCACGCCGAACTCATGAAATCCCCCGGTTGGAGGCCTGGGTTCAAAGTAAATTCGTTTACTTGAATTATTTCGGGATTTCTGAGCCTCACGTATCATGCACGTGTTTGTGGAATCCGTCAACTTCAAAGATAATGGCGAAGTTGATGACTTAGTCAGGCTTTAAGATTCAAGAATTTCATTTTCTCAGCAGCACGCTGTGTAAAAAAACCCAGAGATTGATGATTTTCCTCAGCAAGTTTTCCTTCAACAATTTTTCTTTGACGGAAGAAGAATAGAAGGGAAATATGGGGCGAATAAAATTAGTCTTCAACAGAGCATTTTCGTGAAGTTAAATTAACTTTGCAGCAGCGTATATTTTCACATTTTCTAAGCTTAATGAGGGGTTCAGAGGTCTATTTTTGATTTGCCTTGGGGCGAAAATTTCCCAATTATTAAATTATCGCTCTTCCTTAAAGTATTACACGGCGTGGTTGAGCCTGATAGGAACGGTCTTGTGCATCGCTGCCATGTTCCTGATCAACTGGATCACGGCTCTCATAACCTATGGCCTGATCATAATTTTCTACCTGTTCGTGTGGTACCGGAAGCCAGGTGGGTTTCTGCTGGTGCACGGAATCTGAGCAAGACTCTAATTTAGTCTGTTCTCGGAAGATGCGAATTGGGGCTCTAGCATGCAAGCAGCTGCGTATTCGGGTGCACTGAAATCATCTCACGATCTATGGAATATTGAGGAGCACGTGAAGAACTTCCGTCCTCAGATCCTGTGTATGTCTGGATTTCCTGGCGTACGACCGCCCTTGGTGGACTTCGCAAACCTCATTACAAAGCAAATGTCTCTGCTCGTGTGTGGCAACGTGATTCCGGTGAGTTTCATTGTCTCCCATCATCAGCGCCCCCTGATGCGTGAGTTCGAAGAACTAGATTACTAGATTGAAGAATAACTTCAGATACTGAGGAGCTTGCTGAGACGTCTGTCTCTGTAGTAAGAGAAGGGACAAATTTGTTCGAAATTGCAGGGAGGACGGTGATCCTTGGTAAGCTGCCTCACAACTTATTATCCGTAGACCGATTTTCTGGCGAAGCTTTTCCCGAAAAATTCCCCGGATTTTCGTGACTTTTTGGCTTCCAAGAGCGCGATGATCGATGGACAGCAAATTACTTCGGGGATTTCATCGTGATTTCTGAGGAAAGTAGGATGAAGGCGTAAGCTCTGGGATATTGTGCGGCCTGATTGTGGGAATATAATGGCCCTGACAAGACCGGGGTTCTCCCCGAATCGCCCTTCAATTCGCTCTTTTGATCCTGAACTTTTACCTTGTAACTGATGATTGAATTCAAAGCTTTTTTTGTTGAAACGATCGATTCGACTCAAGAAGATCATTACTGATTTTAAATTCTCTTACCCCAAAATGTCTTCATGGCTCGGTTCCTTCAATGTTCAAACGATGACTTCCTTCTGTATTTCCTGTGAAATTATTCCTTCTCAAGCGTCGTGAGAAGATGCCGAAGTTGAGAAAACGCCAGTGAGAGAAGTAAACTGTCGGTACGAAAATTTAGTGGGCCACTTGAAAAAATGGATGTGGAAAACATGAACGAGAGGAGAAAATTATGTCAGGAAAAAAACGTTGCGGGGGAAAATTTCATGCGAAGAAAAAATAAAGCTTGAAAATGCCATGGGTAAAAAATGACTAGAAAAATGAATAACTTGGAAGAAACTATTTCAATATAATACAGAAACAACAAGAGAAAAACTGCTACAAGTATATCTTGAAATATATTTTAAAACAAGACCAATAAGATGAATTTTTTCTGTTCCCACGACTTTTTCTCTCAGACCAATCATGTCAACGCACTTTCTCCCCATTTTATTTTGCAGTTCATATCAGGTACAGTGTTTATTTTTTTTGGATAACCGAAATATTTTCAGTTAACGGATTAAGCAATCCAGATTCCAGTCAAAATCGTATAGCCGATTTTTTTGGTCGACCCGAAGATAGCATAAGACGCTGTTGCCTACATTTTATGGGTGTTGATTTCATCGTCGTTATTGTAGGGGAAGTGGCAGCCCTTTTCTTTCCCTCTTTTTTCGGACATTTTGTAGTTGCGAGAATGAGATAAACTCAATTAGTCGATGGTGGTGGATTTGGTTTCACCCGCGGTACCACGTAGCGCCACGGTACTCCAAAAAAAAACTGGAGAGATCTCAATGAGCCTCTCTCAACGACAGCTCATTCGGTCCTATTCACAGGAAGGCACTGCACTCAGTGCCAGAACGAACTTGGTGCGTCAATCACGTGCCTGGCTGAACAAGCACAAAATACGCTCCTTCTATCAACACGTTGAGGACGACAGCTTCGAGCATGGCGCGAAAGTGCTGATCCAACTCGCTGGCCTCGGAAATCTGCGCCCGAACATGATGCTGTTGGGATACAAATCCGACTGGCGAGAAGCTCCGAAAAACGACGTCATTGCTTACGTCAATGTTGTCCAGTGCGTTGCTTTCGTTCTTTTTTGGATAATTGATGCTAGAAGAGATTAAGAATCTTGGCTGCTCCGGGGTTTGTCCAACTTCGCAACGTCACTCAAGGAGTCAAGTGCGATCTGAAAAGCCCCATCATACTAACCCGAGAGCCTCTTCGTCTTGCGTATATAATGTGAATTGATAAACTTTGAAGCGCGAAGTTACTCAATTTACCAGTCGATCACGGAAAATCCAAGAATGGTTACTCCTGAAGTCATATACGAATATTCGTTTCTGAGAAAGTACATCACGGTTTTTTTTTAAAGGTTTTGCTAATTACGAAAAAAGAAATTTCCCAAATTTTTTGTGCGCTGGAAATGGTGCGCGATCTTTCTTTCAACATATTCTTGGGTGGTCTACCAATAACATTTACTAGGCAAAATTTGAATTAATTTTCAGGGAATATCCTTGCATCTTCTGGTTTTTGCTATTTGGTTGCTTGAAAGTAAATTGATCCCCATGGTTTTTTTTCTGTAAGAATTATCGTTGGGATTTTCCTGATGATGGGAAAAAACATGAAATGATTTTATTGAAATGGGCTCACTGTTATTGAAGACAGCTGAGAACCCCTGGATCCGTTTTTGGGGTCACGGGCAAGATGCCTGTTCAAATAGGACCACCGAAAATCCAAAGCATGAACAAATTTTTCAAGTTCGTGATACCTACTGTATATACTCGAGATCACTAGGGGTTATTTTTAGGCGTCTCAAATTATTCCCGTTGCACCTAAACACAGATTTATAATAGGTTGCATTTCTCGCACAGCGAAAAAATGTCAAATGGAACACACCAGGTTTCATGCACTTGCACCAAATAAAATGGTTTGTGTGCCTTGCATGCCTTTTGAAACCCCCTTCGTTTTTTTTCATGGATTGAACGATGCCTGAAAATGTTCCGAGACGTATTCCCAAAGTTGGCTCTTGATTAATCTCATATATTGCTTCAGAATGCGTTCTATTAACGGCAATTTTAAATTTATTTCGTCGTTGAAAGTACGAAGCATAATATTCGAAGGATATTTTTCTCCCTGTTTAGTTCCGCATTCGAGCATTTCATGGCTGTCGGAATTTTGCGAGTGAAAGGCGGGCTGGATTATTCTTCGGTGCTGGAAACGATTCTACACATGGAGAACGAAACGGAGGAAGTAGACAGCCATTCTTTCAACGACGGTACTTATCCACCAATGGCGACCGATCGTGACGGAGTACTTTTGTAAGGTTTCAAACACCTCACCGTACACTCTTGTTTCGTTCCGCCCCCACAGATCACGGCGAATTTAACGATCTCGGTGCGGAAAAGAAGGAGCCGAAAAGGAAGAAGAGTGCCAATAAGAAGGTATCCGTGGCTGAACCCCGTGGATACGAAGGTGTCAATTTGCCAATGACGGTTTTGTCCAACGTCACGCGGTTCCAGCAGAAGCATCCCAAAGGCTTCATCGACGTCTACTGGCTTTATGACGACGGAGGTGATGTTCGACGCATTGTTCTCACTAGTTTTTGCGGACAATGCACGACCAGCACGTTATTACACCCTGCTTCTTCCTGAAGCCAATTGATTTTCCAATTTTTTTTTAGCGCGCGACGACGACAATGATTGGCGGGCAGTATTTGAGTCCTTTGATAGAGACGCAGTGCAGTTGTCACTTCTTCGGGTAGAGCCCATAGATTCTCAAACCTTTGAAGCTCTCGAAGTCTTCGTCAAGGTTCGGAGATGTCAGCAATCGCCTATTTTTCCCAAGTTCACGTGTTTTTATTTTATAGGAAGAAATGAAAAAGGAAAATGGGGGAGATGAAATATTAGATAAAAAGTACGTTCCGGTTTCTACTGGTTAAAACATAAATGAAAAGCACGAGATGTAGTCCTGAGAAAAATAGGCAATCGATACTGAAGTATACTGTATGTTCAAAACCCACTGTGAAGATATTCCGAGTCTTAAGAATGCAGAAAACGAATTAAGGAAAGGAATAAGGTGTAAACCGAGGTTTCCCCTGTACTACTGTTTTAAACCAAAATTCAAAGTTATTTTTTATTTTATGATCGGCACTTATTCTTCAGTATAATTGGAATTGTTCGCATTTATGCCCCGTCAGCTTAATAATGCCCGAAGAAGGATCAACACACATCCGAATAGTTGCGGTACATGGTATTAACGAATTTAGTGAGGGCGAAGTAAGTATACAAAGGGGTTCTTCGGCGTATGCGGAATTGGGTAATCCTTACGACTATATTTTACCGGAAGACCTTAATGAAAATAATTTAGCTGGGAATGCATTGGCATGCAGCAGGTTATTATAGCAGCGTAGCTGACGTAGTTCAACCATGCGCGAAGGACCGAATCAACAGCGTCTGATTAGCTGAAGTACATGCTATTAACGACTCTTGTGAGAGCCGAGTAAGTACACAAGGTAGTATTTGGACTTTCGATGTACAGTATTGAGTATCCTTACAATGGTACATCACCGGAAGATCTTAATGAAACTGTCATTCAAGACTCTGTGCAGCAGCGTTTATATCAAGAATGTCGGTCTCTCTGAAACGCTCTTAAAACATATGGATGGCTTAATTGTATTTATTTCGGAAAGGGGAAGAACTCGTGTATTGCTTGGGATAATTTGTTAAGATTTGTATTGCTGACTTCCACAAAAGCGGTCGAAGATGGGATGCGTTTCAACTGTCTTCCGAGACAGCTAATATATGATGGCATACTTTTTATTGCTCTCTAATCTGCTGTTCGTAATTCTGAATCATTTTTTTCCTGAAAGCGCGAAGTAATGATTATATAATGATCATTTTCTGAGAAAACTCAATTGATGCGGAACATTTTATATTTTTCTTGATAATGTCCGAAGAAATAATATATACTTGCTGATGCGTATGTGGCGGCTTTGAGTCAGCAATCAAATGACTTTTCCGGATGAATCAAAGTCATCAATAATGCACAGTATTGTATTCCATTCTTGCTTTTTTGATATTAGAATCAACAAAGCAGGATGCAACATGAAATAAAATATATGAGACGCAAATAATGGTCCACAGTATAAAAAGTATTCCAGCTCAATAAAGAGACATTTCTGTGAGCGCATTACTGTATAGATTTATATTGCAATCAACTTTAGCACAAGTATGATAGAGGTTTTAACGTTCGTTTTATCGTAATCTCACTATTTACTCCTGCCCTTGAGTAAGATGTACTCCTCAAATTTTCAGCCTAAAATTTTTATAAAATCCGGTCCATCCACGAGTCATATGCGCACCCCCTTTTCGTGACTCAAAATATTTTTTGACCCAGCATTCTAATGTAATTCATAGAAAAAATTGAATGAATTTGAATTTTGATTTTAATTAAAGTTTAATTAAATTGCTTTTTAATTTACTCAAGTTCTTTAAATAATGCAGTTTAAAATTGATCAAGCATTTTTCATGATTGAATTAAAAATGTATGAGGCATTGGCCTAAACTTTAAAGAAGTCGGAAACCTTTATACCCACCTTCGACGCACACCCTTCTTTTTCCTCTTTATTTTGAAAAAAGAAGCGTATGGTATGTGAGTAAATACAGAATCTGTACTGTAGTTGAAGGAATCATTATGCGTAAAAGTGACATGGGATGTACTTTGAAACTGTCGCCTAACTTTTCCAGCAGAACTCGAGCCTTTTCTTATTTCATCAATAGCTATGTACAGCAGTACTGTACTTGCATTTTACACGTTCGTTGAATGAGGTGCGTTCCACTTCCATAAACCATAACAAAAAAATGTTTGATCAAGCATGAACCGTACATATTTCTTTCCGTGCCAAATTTGGGGAGAAAAGAGCGCGTCTCGAGATATTTTGGTAAACTTTCTCAATAAATTGTCGGAAACGACCGAAAATTTATGAAAATACAATGCAGTACGCGCGCGGATGGATGGAGTTCCTGATGACCGTGTCTCTATGCTGCATATCCGAGCTCTACAGACTGTCGTTTTCTCTTTCCTTTTTCTGTACATGCAGGGTTGACCATCCTGCTGCCTTACATCATCCAACGCAGACAGGCTTTCAGAAACTGCAAGCTGAGGATTTTCACGCTGCTCTCCAAATCAGGGGGACTGGAGGAGCAGCAACGCAAGTGAGTTTCAGTGGAACTTTTTGTTTACGCGTAGGCGAAAAGCTGCCTATGCGCAGCTCGGGGGCATGGGATGGAACTGAATTGGATTACTTCGTCGCACCTCGCGGAGCAATTCGTTCGCGGAATTGAAACGAAACTAGTCGATGTCTGTATGCGTTGGCAATCTCGTTCGGCAGCATGGCGAAGCTCCTATCTAAGTTCCGTATCGACTTCGCTGACCTGATCGTGATTCCGGATTTGCAAAAGAAAGCTCAGCCGAGCAGCAAACAGTTGTTCCAGGACCTCATCGAGCCCTGCAGGAAAAAGGGTCAGAACACGGGGCGAGAAGGTGAATGGGGGGGAACTTGCGTCGCTACCGTTCCGGAACTTTTCCCCTTGACTGTATTGACCTTACTCCCGTTGCAGATGCGTACATCACTGATGAGGAGCTCGAGATTTTCCGCGAGCGTAACAATCGACACATGCGACTGCGGGAACTGCTGCTAGAACATTCTGCAACGTCTACTATGATCATCATGTAAGTCGGAGTGATTTATGACAGTCGCGGCACGTGACGAGGGCTTCAGCTATAGAGAATTGAACTCAACTGCTCCCCAGGACGTTGCCGTTGCCTCGGCGAACCACGATTTCTGCGCCGTTGTACATGTGCTGGTTGGAGCTCCTCACCAGGGAAATGCCGCCCTTCCTCCTCGTCAGGGGGAACCAGACGTCTGTGTTGACTTTCTATTCGTAATGCCGCGTCCATATCAGAAATGCCCTACGTCACCCGTGACGAGTGGAGACCGGGACTCGCATACTCCTTTTATGCATCAATCCGGAGCGCCCCTTTTCGAGGTGTCAGGGCTTCCTGCTCCGCCAGCCGCGGATAACCCGTTTTCCCGATTGATGACAAGCCTCCTGGATTTCAGCCTCAAGAGTCACTTCAGACGGCTTGCGGAATTTTCCCTTGGAAAAAAACCCAGAAAATCTTCCAGTCTACGAGTTCAGCAGGTTTCGGCAAACCTTTTCTCCTTTATTCAGCATTTCGAGTCGTTAACAACTACGGCGCGTTTGGCACGTTACATTCTGAGGAATTTTCTCAACCGTCTTCAGTACCGGAATAATTAATTGAGCTTGGCTAATGGCTGATGCGGTAGAGCAGGACGAACAACGGTGTCATTTTGAAAGGGGCAGTGAACTGATGTGATTTGAGAACAGTTTCGGCAACTATTCCCATTTTGTTCGTCAGTTATCTTAATTTTTTTCAGTATTGCTTGTCTTCCGCGAGGCGAGCCGATGTGCATCGAAGGAATTTTTCAGCGAGTTTTCCCTTCCTTAAAAATTTCTGTTTGTTTGAGTGACAAAATGCCAAAGTGCATGAGTATTCGGAGAACAAAGTTTACACGATCGATGCATATGCGCGAGTGACCGTAGCTCGGGCATTCGATGCTATGAAAGCGCGGGGAAATCTGCTTCACGGTTTTCTGAGCAGAAAATGGTATCAAGTCAGGAGGAACTTTGCTAGTCAAACTCCGTCCACTTAATAAACCGCTCGAGTAACACAGTGTTACTCTTTGCTTATTATATGGAAGATGCGGGAAGAAGTTGCATTCATCTCGTTTCTGCTCGCTGATATTTTATTTTTTCAAACAGCAGGAGGAGTAATCGTGCATAATTGATTCAGCGGATTCCTTCGCGGTGCTAAGAGGCGTGCATGGTAATTCAGACTTCGCTAATTTCGAGGGAAATTCACACCGGGGGCGGTCTGTCCGGAAGTCTTCCTTTGATACGCGGACGGAATTACGCGGTATAAATTAAGCTGGATTAGACACGGGTGTCAGTTTTCAGCCATCAGATGTTACACTTGATTGCAACCCAGCTTGGTGTGGTCTAAGCTTCTGACTCGGAGCTGGCGGTTGCTGATTGACTTGGGCTCCGCCTTCACTACGTTTTCACCATTTATTTCCGTCTAGCAGGTAAAGTCTGCTTGCGACGTTTCATCTCTCCAGCGATCCTGACGTCTGTAAAATTCCTACGAGAAAAATATGGGATGTTTGATAGTTAGCTAAGCGAGAGACTTTTTCTTCGAATTGCTTTATTACGGAAGCATTTTTTCTAATATGATTGAATTAGCCGATTACGAGCGGCTCGAAACTCATACAGTCATCGGAATTTCGATATGCTTTTATGATGAGATCCTTTGAACTTCGGTTACGTGTTTTGTGTGTCTGTGATTCATTAGCAAAGTAATCCCAGCTTTAGGATTGCTTCCCTAGATTATTTGAAACGATTGACAAGTCTCCTTCTTCCTGAATCCCGGTAACTTCGGGAAAGTGCGAACTCTTCGGAAGTTCGCAGCAATGACGACTGTCGAGGTGCATCTGGCAAGCTACGCGTTGTAGTGTAGGCCTCGACCATTTTCCTTGCATTCTCTCCGATTTTACTTGTTTCCGGCGGGAATGATAAAGCTATGCAAGTATTGATCGTCAATGAACGGTGCTTCCAACATACAATTCCCTGTTCCTCGCCTCCGTCGCGTCGCTGAGTAAAAATGAGGTTTTAAACGCAATTTGTATTTCCTCGGGATTGCTGCGACGATGGGTGTGTGTGCGTGTGTGTAAATATAAATTTTTTTCTCGTTGGGATCAAATTGCTTCGTATTTTCTGCACGGGTTGTTCGTGGTGTTTCACCATGGACCCGACGATTTTCTTATCACCACGTTCACATGGTTGTGTGGCTGCGCATAGGATGAAAATAAGGTTGTACGTGGGAAGCGCCCGGATGCGAAGCTTCTCCGGCGGCGGAATGCGCCCCAGGATATTGAAAATCCCTGCATCGGGGGGAGCGAATTTCATGCCGTATTAATGCGTGCCGCGAGTCGGGGAGGAATTTATGGCGCAATATTCCTGATTCCTGGCGCCGTGTCGGCTCCGAACCCCCCTCCTCAATGCGACGGTGTCGCGTGAACTTGACGGAATGACAAATGGCGCCACACTCCGGGGCGAAACCCGAATTTACGGATTGGAGCGACGGTAATCGCATGGACTCGGCGGCTCTTCGCTGCTTCATAGAAACCGTCTTCCATGTGTATGTGGTTATTGTGATCTGGGAACACAAAGGAAAGAAATAAAACACAGGTAATCAGCCTTTTGAGGCCAAGAACACATATTCAAGGGGTCACCTTGAATATGTGTTCCTAGTTTTGAAGTGATATTTATTCAGATATTTTCAGTGAAGAAAATCAAGAATCCAATCGAATAAATTCACACACATAATAAATACAATCGCCGGATCAGAAAAAAGAAATACACATCACAGATGTTGTGCAAAACTCAGCTAGTAAAAAGAAAGGAGGAGATTTTCCCCCAAGAGTTCAGGACAGACTGATAATTAATTAAAAATTAGTAGAGCTTTTATTAATTTCTTAGAATTGTCTGGTTAAATGATTTGACCAGAAAATTCCAGAGTATTCTTGAATATTCCTTGGCCTCTGATTGGCAGATACTGTATATACAAATTTAAGAATAAATTGATACACTCATCATCACGTGATGCAGGATGAAACCTTTTCCTCTCTCTTTTTCTCTTCAACAGTTACTTCGGTATTGCGGTGTCCCTCAAGATAGGGCTTTTCAACGTACCACTTTCAAGAATATCTTGCAGCATTTCCTATAAAAAACTGCACCACTTCGTGAAAAGTTTTATGTGGTGAAGTAGCTAGCATCTGCCTTCGGGCAGCAAACCCAACTTCAACAATATGCGCCCCTAAAACGTAAGCGATCAAAGGGCAATAAACTTCGCCATTGGCCTAAATCTCCCAATTATTTTTCTATTAATTCTGCACCCCAAACCCTTCTCGCATTTGTATTTAATTGGGTTGTAAACAACTCACTGCTTCTGCAAAGCAAGTACTGTACCGTAAATTAATCAATTTTAATAACCCAGAATAGCTAACAACATCTTTTATTAAATAAATTGCGTTGAAAATAACTTGGCTACACATTCATGTGCTTATTTTCAAGGTGTAACTCCATCATTTCCAGGAACCAGGTCTTTTCTAACGCCAACAGTGCCACTAAAGGAGTTCATGCGTAACTTTCAGCACCTGCGTACTTTTTCAAATATGATACTGCGTACCACGCCGGAAGTACTTCACGATGCCTACTGGAAAACCCTTCCCTATGATTAGACACAATTAATCTTGGGATGGACTTTACGAACGTAACACTGTCAAGACATACCAGAGTTTATGCACCATTTCAATGCTGGGTCTGCTACCTTTTCCTATTGTTGCATGTGCAAGGCGTCCCCTGGTTGTGCTACTGTATTTTCGTAAATACACCTTCAACTCAAATGAGGGACGAAGTATTCTCCGTTTCTCCGTTGTTACTGCTACATATTCAACCTACAATGCTTTATTGTTTCCATAAATCTGCGGCACAATTACTCCCGCAGCTGGCTCCAATTTGAGATATACAAGAGATAGCAGTACATATTTCAAACTACTACTCATGTTCATGGACAGGGTCAAGTACCAAGAAGGAAGTGCCTTCATCGCGAGATGTAAAATTCTGATCTCGAATGTTTGCTTCTTCACTTCATGAGAGGAAAACAGAGGCACCTGAACCAGCAGTCTTTCAAAACAAAAGATGCACAGCCTTGTTCTTTGAAAAAAAAAAAGAGCGTATGATCGTGCACATCCGAGTGCATTTGAATAAAGGATATTATGCGGATCCGGAGCCTAAAAATTTCTAAATTCTTAGTCAGACGGAGGAACCCAGCAGGTTTATGTTGTTCTTGACCCACCTAATTTGCCTCAAATTCCCGTGAATTGCATTAGATTCCATTCAAGCTTGTGATCAGTATGACATGCATCAAAAGAAGATAACGAATAAACAGACAACTTGTTTACTTTCTGATGTCAATAAATGCAAGAGAAGTAAAACGGTGCGATCATTTTTCGTGGGAAATCACAAAGAAAACTGGGAATATTTTATTTGAAGATTTACTCTTCGAGATTTCCGGGAATCTCGCCTTATATTACGTCTATAGTCATTGTTTGAATATTTTTTCCCTCTCGGGTACTCGGTTTTTCAAATTATGAGGCCAGTTTTCATCAAATCTAAGGCACCAGATCATTAACCCCGATGCAAGGGAATACTATAGAAATACTGGGCGTTATAAATTAGATGATCACTCGCGCTTTAAAAATACATTCTTACGAGTACACGACGAACGATTCTGCAAGTATTGGGTACTTCAGAGTAATTGTACACATACTTATGCTCTAGAAATCTGTTTTAATGGCATTACGATCAACTCTTCTGCTTGTAATGCTGTTCTCGGAACGATAAGAAACTTTGTTAATTTATTTGACAGAAAACTTGTTTTTCTTTTTGTGAGCATTCAGTCGAAGAATAATTCGAAAATTACTGATAAACATGCTATAATACTACTAGAAATTAGTAATCAAGCGGTATGTATCAGAACATAAACTATCCACCAATTGATGATTACAGTATAGGATAGGTAATCATTCCATCCAAGAGAGCTGCCCCAAATATATGCGTAAGCGGATCACTTATCGAGATTTTAACGAGAAAACATATTTCCTTCGAAAGTTTTGAAAGTTGAATTTCTTTCGACTCACAGATACGAGTAAGTAGATGCGCGCATGAGTTACAATATACATATTCAGTCTTGCGATTAACAGACATTTAAAAGGGTCCCACTTAATTTCACGCTTTGCTAAATAATTGCACTAAAATTGGATTCTCTCGGAACATTTCACTCCAAGGAAAATGGCGACAACGATTTCAACTTGCTGAGGTTATTAGAACGAAAAATTTAGGAAACACAGAAATATGCCCCTATCTATCATCTAACATATCTTTGTATTTTGCTGAAATTTCCATCTGATTTGTCCAATACTTTTAAAGAGCTAAATTTATAACTCCATTTCTATCATGAGGATCTAACCTTACGTACGTAGACAAATGTGTGCATGGGAAGGCTCCGAGGGAGAAAATACTCGCATGATAGCCCAAAAGTGAGGAGCATACGAGGATTGAAGTAGTCAGAATTAAGAATATGAATGATATTTATCGCACTTCAGATCAAGTTATTC